GGATAAATTGCTCGATGGAAACGTACAAGTTACATACTTAGTCACAGTTGTCATGTTAACATCCCGTAACAAGGACAAACACATTATTTTATTGATTTGTATTTATTATAAATATAACACTATACATATAACAGCACTTTGTCTAATTAAAAACAATACAGAAATAAAATATATTTTTCAGGAAAATAAATTATGGAATTAAAAGTGCAGAAACAACATTTCTTTGTTCAACAATTCTGTGTTTGTAGACCATTTTTCTGAATCATTGGAACGTCATTATAGATTCTGAAACAAGATGTGGCTCACTTGAGTTGGGATAGTATACCTGAAATCAGCTGCATCTCCCTCATCCTCACTTGAGGATTCTTTGTGTAAAGGGAGTCAGAGTGCACAGAACAGATTCCTCTGGTCAACGTGTTTATTCAATTCAAATCATTTTATTTTGTTCAGCTTTGCAATCTGTAAACATGCAACACCCTATCCCCTAAACCCCAAAATGTAAAACCCCTTCAACCTGGAGAAACCTGAGGGGAAAACAGTAGGGAAGAAGGTGTGAACAACTTAAAAGATGTACAGTACATCCGATTCCTACAACATAAATGATTCTAATATTGTGGATTATTAAGCCAGGGGTAAGGCAGGACCAGTGCAGGGACAACCATCATCAGACGTAACCTCCATCAGATGCAACCACCACCCGCAGAAACCTGTGAGGAGGGAAAGCACAAAGGCAAAGTTGGTAATTTGGGTTTATGATGACAGTAATAAACTAATAATAATAATAACAGCAGCAGGTGCGTTAGAACACTCATTTATAGATGGTTTACTTATTACATTATAAACAAGATAACAATTCATCTGCAACTTATGGTATTTCTGGAGTAACATGTCCAGGTATATTACACAGTAGCATGATTTAAGCAGCAGTAACTTACAATGTTTCGGCCTCTTGTTTACAGAGCACAACTTGTTGAATTCAGCCCTTCACCCTTGCAATCTGTATTTAGCCCCCATTGCTTTAAAAACGTATCTTCAGTGTGAAATGCAATAACATGTATGGGTACAGCAACAACCTAACGCATTAGTAACACCAAACATACGAAAAATATTCTGGGATGTTTACTTTTGGTCCAGGTCATCATGCTGCACGCTAGCATGCTCCAAGCTAGCATGCTAACTAGCAAACTACCTGCGCTAACGCTAACTAGCTTAACAAAAAGGACCGTCTTTCCCGTATCGGGTGGGCAGCACAAGTAAAACACCCGGTTATAGTTCCATGTGTGCTTCATCCAAACACTCCCGTACTTACAGAGTAGTGGAGCCGGTAGTCGTGGTTCTATCAGCCCGTTCATGTCGCTCCGCTGCCGTAACTTCGCCTCGTCCGCTCGGAGCTCTGCAGGCGTCTAAGAACTCGCGCATGCGCGTTACAGATGTGAGCGGAGTCACGTGTTTACAAGTAATGTTTGAACCTGCCCGCATTATTATGTCTTAAACGCATCTTATTAACAGCACGCAGTCCGTAGTTTCATATTTATGACGTTTTAAGTGAAATATTAAATACGTTGAAATCACGTCTTCGCGTAGACCAAATTTCGCCGACCAGTTCATTAATTATTATAAAAATCTTAACGTTAATATCGTCTATCTTTCAACCTTACGTTACAACATGACACATTTATCAACAAATTGAAGTTTTCTGGCACGTTGATGTTTCATCCCATTTTTAGCCGGTTGAAAAGACGTTGAAATGAGGTCTTAGACGTTCAGACCTCATTTCAACCCGATTTCAACCATATTTCAACGTTGAAATTACGTCTTGTGCTCACTGGGAGACCGGAAGGTTCGCTCAACATTTCAAATATGTGATAGGAAATCTGTATATCAATACAAAAATAGCATTTTATGTCGTATTTCTTTGGTTTTATACACAAGATAAAGTAGTGTTCGCAGTGAGTATCCATACTTTTGGGTTCATGAAACTCTCACTAATCCTGTTAAATACTCTTTTGGTATTTAACTGTTTATATATGTGAATAATAAGTTCATCTATTCTGTCCGTCCTGTTGATAAACCGAGTGAGTGTTTTTAAAAAACCAAATCTGTTGCCTAGTTACAGTCAGAGACTAGCCTGTTATTTAACTGACCTTCAAAAGAAAAGCGTTGACAACAATGCTCCTGATCCAATGCCACATGGACCGCGTTAATACTGAATAACTAAATGCCTTGAGTAGTTCAACAAGCACTGCTGCAATGGCTGGGGCCAAACCTGTGCGCTGTGTGTTTTATTGAGGCGCGCGGTGGGTCTGAGCCCACATGAATGGAAACAGTTTCTCTTCTCCATCTGCTGTGGCCATCAACCGCTGGGCTGATGCTACCGCATACAGCCGTCCCCCTTCACTGAACCTGCCAGCCAGGGCTATTTGTTTGCATAAGGGACCTGCCAGTAAAACCATGTTAGTGTGGCTATGGCATTACCGAAACAGCAATAGCAAAAAAAAACAAAAAACGTTCACTGGCATGCGGTGGTTTTGAGGCATTGGTTGAGTCAGGAAAGATAAAAGGATCAAATATAATTTAAAAAGCTTTATCCTTGATTTCTTTTCTATCGCCGGAACATTCCAGGATATTTGTGTCCATCACAACTGTGCCACTCTGGGTCCTCAAAGCGTTTAATACAGTTTATACATTTAAAACAAATGGTGCTTTAACAAAATAAACAACAAATGCATTATCTTACCAAGATCAAAGACACATTATCTTCACATGTAAAGTTAGAATACATCCGTGTAGTTCTACACTCTGATAGTGTTGGTGATCATTCATTGTGTATATTTCAACATTTTAAAAGTACAATATACTGTGTTGTCTTAACAAATTCCACTTAAAATGTTGGTCAACAATACAAAATGAATTAACTAAACACTAGTAGTTGTCATTTCTTATAATGTGGGAGTTAATGAGACAGAAATATCGCAGCCATCTAGAGCTTATGAAGTGGAATGGAATGTCATTAGTCAGCATGCCTGATCGCCAGGTACATGGTACATTAGAAAAAGGATGCTGAGGTTAGCAAACCGCTCAGTCAATATGTCAGGACTGTGCGCCACCACATCAAACATACGGCTCCTCCGCACGGGAGTATTTAAGTGGAAAGAAGGAACCAGCAAGGTGGCTGCAGAGACATGCACCAGATACCAGAGTGTTTGGGTTTGTTCCTAATTCATAAAATACAAAATAAAAATTTTGCAGACTTACTAGCGTAGCAGTTAGCCAAGGCCAGCACATAATAGATTATTTTAGTGTGCATATACACTCCCGGCAAAGTCGGTAGTCGGTGAAAAGTGATGCAAAGTGTTTGTACTGTAGAATGTGAACCAAGCTTTCGTCTTTACGGGAAGTGGCTGCAACTGTAAAGACGGTGTCCTTGGTGTTAAAACTACGTGTTAAAAGAAATTATTGAAGAAATATAAAATGTCATGGTGTCCATTAAGACTAAAAAAGAATGTGTTACATCAGTAGTTCAGTCTGAAACGCATTGAGAAGGAAACAGAATAATGCCTGAATGACAATGAACACAGGAACATAATATACAACTGAAAATAATTCAGATTGTCAAGGCACCTCTTCAACAAGTCTCTCTCTCTCTCTTGTTACCATGGAGACAAACTCAGAAGGGCTGTGGGCGAGAAGTGAGGGACCGTGGGTGACTGTGTGTGTGAGCATGTTTGTGCAAATCTTCATTTCCAAATGAAACTCAGTTCTTCTTACACTGTCTAACAAAAGAATTGCGTTGATAATCAGAGCTTGACCTTTAATTTCCAGAGGTGAGTCATATCCAGAAGACATTTGCTGAATAAATGACATTTTAACTCTGTCATTGCAGACAGAAATGCCCTTTAAGGCACACTTTATGATGATGATGTGGAGTCGTGATGAACTGCTTTGACTTTATTTATTTTTAAATCGTAAATCTGTTTGTTTCCTTCATCTTTAGAATAATTTCAAATAAAATGTAGTATTACTTTTAGGTCACTCCTGACAACTTGACTCTGTCTTGGTGTAACTACGGGGACCACCGTTATTTTGCAAAGGTACGGTCCAATTGTTCAGTGTTGCATTATGCCCAGAGGCTGTATTAGTTCCTGAAATGGCACCAAGAAAAACGAAGTCTCCCTGTATCCAATTTTGAAAACATGCACTCAATTTAACCTCCAGGGACAATGAGTAAAAAGTATAGGTCACTGTACTGCCGTGTAGATTGCGTGTAGCTTGCATGTAGTTAGCGTGCACTAGTGTTGTGGAATGAATTCATTCAAAGTAGAGCCAAAGGCCCTTCAGGGTCCAAGAGACAGACGGAGAACCCTGACCTTGCTCCTCCTCATCATCTGTTCCAGTCGGATGACTGATGTCAGTCACTCTGCACTGCAGTCGATGAGCAACTGAATACAAGGCAGCCAACTGAGGCAAATGTCTTAAGAATTGGATCACATGAACTGTCTTAGATCTTATGATGAAATGTGATGAATGGTGATTATTAATGATGTGGTGTAATGAAGGTGTACTAGTTATAAGATGAAGACAAACGATGCATGCTTTGTTATATTCACTCATTGAGGCATAAAGCCAACTGTATCTACATTGAATGCATTGGAATGTGAGGGACAGATAGGACAGTGAGGTTTCAGGTTACAGCTGCAGCTTCACACCTCGACGTGAAGGGGACAGTCCAGGAGGAGACACTCTGAAGAAGAAGTCAATGACATTCAAATGCACCAAGGAAGACACACCTCAAGAGTTTTCAAAGGACCAAAGCGGGGAAAAGACTGTTAGAATTCTCCTGCAGCCGCTTTGATAAGTCACTTTAGACTTGCTCTGAGGATTCTCTATTTTGCGAAATATTTTACTGTTCGCTTTGTATTTCACTTTGTAATTGTATCCCTTATAACGTTGTTTAGTTATTAAATACTTTTGATTTTTGAATTTAAGCAAGCTGACTCTTTTGTGTCTTCGTTTCCGGCCGGGACGAGAACAAAGGAGTGAGGCCTCCCTCGAGAGCTTTCCGAAACCCTAACAGTATATATATCTTTCATTTCTTAACTCTTCTTACCAAAGCCTTTTGTTGCACGTGGTCATTTTCCACAACACTACAAAAGCAACAGCTTTATTTGTGTAAACTTCTATAAACTCCCTCACACACAGCTTATGAAAGTAAGTAGCTTATAGGACCATTTTTTTCTTAAATAGAGCTTTGAAGCGGCTTGCCGACCCGCTGCTCATTTATTAATGTTAGCCATCCTCTGACTCTGATGGAAGCCGCCGGCTCGAGTGGTGTTGAGTCCAGTTAATCCAATCAGCTCCATGGTCATCGCTTCCCATCAATAATTGAGAGAAAAATTCAGCAAAATTCAAGAGTTAGAGGCAGATCAGCTTTTAGTTGATATGGTGTTGCCAGAAAATAAAAACAGTTTCAATAACTATAAGCTCACAACACTTTCTGAGTTTGACAAAAAAGAGCGATTTCTCAACTACTGCAGCAAACTGGGAAAAGTAAATCTACTTTCATGAAGTGGATCGAGTCTCCAGACTCAACTACTGCTGCCAGTTTGTGGCAGCTTGGAAAGTGCACGAGTACATGGTGAGTAGCTACAGGAGATGAATGTTCATTAAAATGGAGAATGAAAATATCTCTACCTGTTCCCGGCTGCGTGGCTGGATGCAGGCCAAGTACCAGTGTTTCTGGCAGTTGACGGTCTCTCGATGATCAAACTGCATGCTGTGGGTCAGTTATTATAAATGTCAGCATACTTATTGATTAAAATCGATCTGCGATGTTAATAAAAGGCCAGATAATGGGAGAAACCAACGCAAATTTATCTTCGCTTGGAGATCAGGCGGATTGGAGGCTTTCTACATGATTGCATTGGAGAAAATGTATCTGGCATTGCTTTGCATCCCATCTCTTCAACCCAGAAATTACAGTCACAGAAATTACAGAACTCCAAGCATGTCAGAACGGGAAAGGCATGCTCCCATGACATGTCTTCGACAAGAAAAACGATATTCCACATATAGCTGGAATTGGTAGACAATGTGGCAGGATAATGTGTGTGTATATATATATATATATATATATATATATATATATATATATATATATATATATATATATATATATATATATATATATATATATATATATATATATATGGTAGTTTGGAGAAGCAGAGGTCCATGCGTTTGCATTCTCTCATAAATACACTTATATTGTGTGTGACCAATACGACCCATGAAGAAAAATCCTCTTTAACCGTCCTGTAATGTTTGTTTCACCGGTGCAGCAATCGTGTTCAAACTATTTTTTTGGCATATTGGAAAAAGCGACGTAGTTATCCTTTGCATCAGTCTACCATCATGATCTTTTTTTCTTCATTTATTTGATATTTTGAAACTTTCTTTTCATGGGGTGATGTAGACAAATAGAGATGATTGGGGGAACAGGTACATCAGTTTCCTCATATGATGGTTCATAATCAGCACCATTATAAATTGATCTCAGGATGGTCTTCGTCTTCAGACACATGCTCTTCTATTTCAATCTTGTAATCAAGGATGAGCACCAGAGCCTCCCCGGCTGTCTTCCTTTGATTTATGTGGCTCATGTTGTCCTACAGTAAGCTGCTGTTTTGTATGCATCTGCAGGGATCAATGTTCCCGAGCAACCCTCTTTTTATGTTTAGGGCCGCTAAATGTGGGCGTTTAGAAACTGGTCGATTTGACCCTACGGCATTACAGGAAGGTCAAGATCATAGCGGAGTGCTGCAGCGTTAATTAATCCAAATAAATATTTAAAAATGGTATAGCCGGATCAGTATGACATTGACAGCATGCATTAAACAAATTAAACCCATTAACAATAAGTGTACGGAGTAGTTGAGGTGGTATTCTGCGAAATAAAAATAATGTTATATTTACAGACAATAGTTATCTAAATCTGTTTTACTGAATAGTTAGATTAATTGAATGCTCGGAGTACAATTCTCAGGTCTTTAATGGCTCGAGGAGCGGCGATGATGTGGCTTTTTCGGCCTGTCCATTGGTCTGCAATATTTGGTCAAAGCTCAACAGTTGACAGTTTGATGGATTGCCTTAAAATTGACCACCATTGCTACGCTGATGACACCCAAAACTATGTAGCGCTATCACCAAACGACTATCGCCCCATAGATCTTCTGTGCCAGTGCATTGAGCAAATCAAAGACTGGATGTGTCAAAATTTCCTACAACTAAATGAAGACAAAACTGAGATCATTGTATTTGGTGCTAAAAAAGAAAGGTTTAAAGTAACCCAACACCTTCCCTCTCTGTCCCTGAAAACATCAAATAAAGCCAGAAATCTGGGGGTTATTATGGATTCAGATTTACACTTGGAGAGTCACATCAAATCAGTAACAAAATCGGCCTACTACCACCTCAAAAATGTTGCACGACTTAGAGGGCTCATGTCAGCTCAAGACTTAGAAACACTTGTACATGCCTTTATAACCAGTAGACTAGACTATTGTAATGGTCTCCTTGCAGGTCTTCCAAAAAAAACTGTCAGGCAGCTCCAGCTTGTTCAGAACGCTGCTGCTAGAGTTCTAACAAAGACCAAAAAATGTGAGCACATTACACCAATTCTTAAATCCTTACATTGGCTCCCAGTATGTCAGAGAATTAATTTCAAAATCCTACTGCTCATCACTGATATGCTTCCACTACATAAGCCTTCAACATCACTAAGATCTTCTGACACCAATCTGTTAGTGATTCCCAGAGTAAATACAAATCATGGGAAAGCATCATTTAGTTACTACGCAACAAACAGCTGGAACGAACTTCCTGAAGATTTAAGACTTGCCCCAACTCTGACCACGTTTAAAACAAGACTGAAAACTTTTATGTTCAGCTTCGCCTTCTGCTAAATTTTACCTACATTGCACTTTTAACCTCTGCCTTTAATTAAACAATTTAAATAAGATTTTAATTCATAATTTTTTTGCTGTTTTTAATTGTCTTTTAATTCCTGCATTTTATATCACTTTATTGTATGAAATGTTATGATGTGAAGCACTTTGAGTCTGCCTTGTGTATCAAAAGCGCTATACAAATAAATTTGCCTTGCCTCGCCTTGATATACAGACATTTTTGGCCCCCAGATGACGAATCCTCCTGAACTTTAGCATCACATTGATCACTCAACATTTTCCAGATGTAATAATCAACTATTGCATGGATTGCTCAGAAATTTGGTCATCGCATTTTATTGTCCCAAAAGCGTGAATTGTGATCACTTTCAACTCTGGATCATAAAAAAATCTAAATCCCACAGAGCAGTTCTTTAGGCCAGTGAACAGTAACCCAGCTTTGCGGTTGAGATGATAAAGTCGTAAGATTTTAGTTCACATAGTTAACATAGTTTAATTCCTCAAAATTTGTCCACACAAAACGTACACTTCAGTAAGACGCATATCAGTTAAATTATTCAAATTCACTCTGAATAAACGATTCCCCAGAAGAACTCGTGCTGCAATTGTTTTGGTTTTCAGGGCCAGGATCGCTCTGCACTTGCCTGACTGCAGTTTAAGCTTCAGTCAAGACACCATTTGGCGACAGAAGGCAACTTTGTGAAGATTAAGCATATCTAGCAATATAATAGATTGTTTTTTTGTGCATGTTCTGCATAAATCGGGTGTCTGTGAGCACTGATTAATTCCCCTCTTTCTGGCAGCCAGCTGTAATCAACAGGAGCTGACTGGCAGATGAGAAAACACAGCAGGCGTCCTTCATGGAGACAATGTGGGTCTGAAGGCCCGCAGAGCTCAAACCACAAAAACTCTACGAGCTTTTGTCGTAGAGCTTTTTTGGTATTGAGCACCTCACGATTTGATTTGATTCTGAGGTTTTCTTCAATATCATCTTTCTGTGCAATTCAGGATCCATCCATTTTTCACAGCTGAACAATGCTTACCGTATACGTGTTTCTGTGTGTTTGGTATGAGATGAAGAGAAACAAAGAAAGGAGCGATGTATGATTGTATAAAATATAATCAGTTTTAGAGTATTTGTCATTGTGAGAAAGCAGGTGGGGAGTAAGAGAAATAGCGCTGCCCTGTCGGGGGAAAATGCGCTTTTCAGTGACAACGGCATTATCGGTACACAATCTGTCTCACGGGGCCCTGTGGGGAATGTGTTTGTCTCCTCCTCCAACTGGCAGGGGACAAAATCAATGAAGACTCATTGTCGAACTTGCCTTTACAGTGTCTCATGCACGTATCCTTAGTCTACCTCAGCCATCAGAAAGGACAAGTGACACCGTGACAAAAAGGGCAGTGACGGATGTTTGTCGGACCACGGATCGGTCTAGTGGGACATTTTGAACACTGTTGGTTGCTTTTTGGATGCAGCACTCCTTTGAGTCACTTCCCTTTAGTTTTCCAAGATGATGCGGCCACGACAAGGACATGCACAGTATGTCAAGCTTAATTTTCTCCTGTCCTGCTCTTTATTTCCGTGCACTAATCATCCCCGTTCCCTCCGATACCTTATACCTCTCTCACACACACCCTAATGAAGGTGAAATAATGCATGAGGCTGGAAGAGGGACTCTTCATGTCTTACTATACAACATTTAGAGACAAGAAGCACAAAGGGTGATCTTTTTTTCCCGTGCACCACTCTCATTTTACTTTTCTCATGGGTTGTTGCTTTGAATACCCTGCAGAATTTGCATTGGATCAGATCAGACAATGAGGAGAAATGCAGCCAAGTTCTAGAACAAAGGCTGCGTATATATATATGTTTAATCCACGGGGCAAACTAGACACTCTCTGCGTGTATCGTCTGTTGCCAGCGCTTGATACAATTATTATCTAATATCACATTATCCATGTAGTATGCCTCCATTACGAGCCAGTAAATTTCCTGTGATGAATAACGATTAATTAAAACAGATTGCCCTCACTCAACCTTGACCTGCCTTTCACCCTCAGTCACTCCTTCACCCCCCTCCCACCCCGCCCCCCCCCCCCCCCCCCACCAACACACAGATGCTCTATCAGATCATGTATAGACAAGTTTCCTGAGTGAAATAAGCGGGCCGCCATTGGCCTTTCACTCTGCCAACGACTTCCGGTTGTGACTGCAAAGCACTTCCGGTTAGCGAGTTAGCGTCTTTTACGGTCTTTGGTTAGAGTGCAGAAAAAGTAAACTATGGATGGTGTTACACGCCGACACGGCTCCGGGACATATTGTGCTGTTCACAGTTGCAACAACTCGTGGTGATTGCAGAATGTTTGGTCGGAAGAAGAATGTTTCGACCATCAACCATCTACAAGTGAGTAAAATCCTATAGATTTGCATTCAAATACAGAAAGCTTATCATTCGCGGAAGTCAACACAGTATTATGCAGACGAATATCAGCTTTTTCATAGAAAAAAAAGTAAGTTAATACCTTTATCCATTCCGAAGCTATTAATAGATATGTCAGGGGTGCGCACTTTGACGCTCGTCAGTCGACTTTGAAGGGTTAAATGCTTTTAGTGCAGGCAGGCTAGAGGGGATTACTTTTTCTTTTTATTACTCTTCGTGTTCTGTTATATATTAACACACGGATACATACAAACATCTTATCTTAACGTACCTTCCAAAGCGCGGCGGCTGCATGGCTACAGGTACAGCCTGCAGTCTCCACATCTCCCGTCTTGGTAACCAAAACCCAGGCGTTATGCGCTGAATTGTTAACGGACTGGCTTGGCTGAACATCGGCCTTTATATGCCCATATCGTGTAAAAGTACACAGCCCACTTTGTCGGAATGGAGGTACTGAAACGCCTCTGAGCTTATCAGGTTATTAATTGCATTCCCATCCACCGCCATGGAATCAATAAAATAAGAAAAGATCTTGGATGTTGTGATGCTGGGCCATATCGACATGTTGTCCGGCCATGATGTTACCTTACTTGGATGTGGAATGGTCAAAACACCATTTCTAACAAGATTTTCGGTCGAATGTTGCCATTCCAAAGCCATTTTTACACCACTACTCAGCCTGCGCCGGAAGTTCTTGGCAGAAACAGAAAGTAAACCGGAAGTGCCCGGGGAACTTGTCTATACTGGATGAGGAAGTGTGTGCTAGAAATAGCGAGGGTGATAAGAGCAACTGGTGGTGGAAAGACCGAGTCTGCGAAAGCGCAGGAACAAATCTAGAGCGCAAAGTGCAGGGTTTTAATGATTTGCATGTCCACTTGGAATATACACAGCAGTGCTGGAGGCTGATTACTCGCGGTTAAAGTTGGCAAGATATTGTAGCAGGCGAACTAAATAACAACTTTGCCAAATGGCCAGAAACATGTTTTTGCTGGCCAGCGGCAATAACATGCCATGCATGGTCGACCCGCCACTTAACGCAGTTTCTGTGACTCGATGGTCTTGTTGAAGGGGTTTTTCTGAGTACGTTTTTCAAAAAGCGATGTATTGATACCAGTATTGCCGTGATAAGGACTTTAATAGAGGAGGTATCTGTGACGATGGGATTGATGTATTCAGTTCAATGCAGTCCTGCTCTAGGTCTGCATTGAACTGAAAACATCATTATATACTGTGATGTTTGATTCATTGGTTACATTTAACCATTTTGTGCTGCATTAAGGTTTACCGTTAGTTAAAGATAATTTTTTTAAGTTTTAGGAGTAGGATTTATTGTTTTATTTATAGATAACAATTCAGTAACAAAGCAAAGCAAAGCCTTTTACGAGGCCTGATGTTGATTCCCACATAAATTAATGACTAGTCCCTTCCACTTAGGCACAGAGCTTATTTATTAAACATTAATATCAGCCTATAGCAAACACCCAGGTATTTCTGACTGTAGACCATATAGCGACCTGAAAGATAGTACATCCTTAGAGATTTTAGGTAGTTAAGTCATTTGCGTCATATAGTAATGTCTTCCGTCATTTGGAGGCGATGCCAAAGCACTGTGGAGCAGTTTATAGTGCAAGCAAAGCAGGGTTATGTAAAATTGGTTGGTGCAACACTTTAAAAAAGTTATTTGTTTTCTTATTGGACTCTCAGGCCTTTGGTTTTCCTGTCAGCATTTTTTAGAAGTTCGCAATTGGCCAAAGCAGATGTACAGTACTTTGCTCTAAAAGTGTCAATACACCGATGGAGGCCATTTGGCGTTGTGACCAGAGCCCTGCGGCAAAAACAAAATAATTAAGAATGGCCATCATGGGAAAGGTACAGAGATGCTGAATGTGCTGAGCGACCGAATGGCTGACGTGATCAAAGGTGATGTGGGGGAGAGACAGAGAGAGAGAGAGAGAGAGACGGTGTAAGACATTCAAGATCAGGAGAGAGGAAAGGAATGAAGGAGGCAGCGACAACTAGAGGCCACATGTGTTTTTTTGATGTTGTGTAAAATGTGTGCTGAGATGGATGGGGGGGGGGGGGTGACGTGAAAGGACCACGGGGGCAAAGATAAAGGTGAGAGAGGGAGAAAAGAGGCTAGAGAGAGTTACAGGGAGCTGAGGGGGGGATCCTGCACTCTGAAAGTAGAGCGTGCCCAAACACCATCAATCCTCCTCCTCTGCCATCCACTCCTCCGCCTGCCAACAAGGGCCTGGTGTCTGTTGACTTCGTCACTCATCGGAAAACAGACACGCACACGTTGCCCACTGCTCCACCTACACACATCACCGCCACCACCACCACCCAACACAAACGGAGTGACATTCAAGCCTGCTGCTCCGAGGGAAACTCATTATAGAATGCTAAACCCAGGCATCCAAAGGGCCAAGCAGTGTTAATGAGTGTTGGCGGAGGTTAGGACATGTGTGTCCCGTCTGCTTCGACACACGACAGCACCAACATACAGCGTACGACTCGCACCTCGACTCCGCCGCAGGCCGCGTCCCGGGCAAACACACTCGCACTGCCACTTTTTAAAGGTTGTTCTTGCTGACGCTTTTGTCAATGAAGGAGGCATCTTATTTATCATGTTCTTATTTATTCCCTTAACTTTCAGGAATTAGACAAAGTAATTGGGGAAGATAAAAACTGATATTGCGTAATTTACCCCGTGTATGACTGTAAAAATTTAAATAATAAATAAATACATTGCAAATTGATAAATGATATTTAGAAATGTACAGTAATCTATTTCTGACCCAAAAAGCAATAGTTTGGTATTATCTAAAACTACCTTCTTAAAATCGGTATTAACATTTTTATAGCTATTTAAATTATGTACACCACCCTGGAATGAGATTTCTTCTGTAGAAAAGAATAAGTGGGAGCTGTAATTTATGCGCATTGCTGTGTTTCGGCCTTCCTCCTCCAAACCCCATATAACTATATTCAATTCCTTCTTTCTCTGGCCCTGCTGCCCCTTATTTCTTTCTCATTTTTTCCTCTCCTACCGTCTTCTCAGTACATAATATGTGTAACCTATATTTGGGGTGCCAGCGGAGGAAAACCCTTATCATGTTACTCTCACACACGGCCTGTCAGCAAAGATAGCTGATCCGCTTGTCCCTCTGCTCTTTTTTAAATGTTTGCCTTGCTGCTGGTTTGTAGAGAGAGATGCTACTGCAGGCAAAACACATGAAATGAGGAGGCACATGCTCATAAGTGCACGGGAGAAGGTAAAGGCGCTCAATAACTCACTTTGAAATGAGCATAGAGACACTTCTGTTGTCTGGGGAAGAAATGACGGCTGGCATATTTTAAACCCAAACCATCTTATTTTCACTCTCTCACATATTCTTAGATGCATATCATCAAAGCTATTTTTAGACTTTTAGACAGGCGTCCAATAAATATCCTCCTTGTCCTCCCCCCTATCCAGTCCCGTCCTGTCTCCCACGCAGTCACTATATCTTTCCTTTTCTTCCTCCACACTGCCCAGAAGACTCTTTCCTCTTGCTTATAACCTCCACCATTTAAAGCAGCATGAAACTCCACACGTGTCACTCCTCCCCAACTTCTCCGACGGTCTCGCACACGGGGAAGTAAGACACCGTATTGAAAAGTGGCAATAGATTCAATAGATTCTCAAAGTCATGTAGCATTCAGGGAAATAGATTTTTCTTTCTCAATCCAGCTAATAATGTGTGCACATTGCTTAAGAAGATTGACATGTTGAAATGAAATAGGGATCAGGTTTTGTTGGTGGTCATTAAGGGGTCTGTGATAATATACTTTATGAGCACCATAGTTTCTGAAGAATATTTTTATGGCCCTTTCTGTGCACATGAGAGTTTAATACGTGTCTCTAAATTCAAAAAATGAAATAAACACAATCGGTATAGAGAAAGGAAATTGTACCAACCTTACACCAAAAAGTATTTGTATGTAGTGTATTAATGACCCCTGTTCTTTCCCTACACTCAATGACAGTTCTATTTTTATTTCATCAGCAGCGATAGAAAAATAAACCTCACATCTTGATTTGATTTATAATAATCATCAATAATTTCACAATGTACTGAATCGGTTCAGGGTTTTAACGCAGTGGCAACATGATCATAGAAATTCTATCTCTGTTCAGAACAAAGATATTGTAAAACCCAAGCTGGCCCTTATGCTCCGTGGGCCGTTATTGTGGTTTTGTCCTTATTCTTAGCTAAGGTTTAAGCAAAAGTATTAAAGTAGTAATTTATCATCAGATTAATAATTTGCCATCCTCCTTTGACCTTGAGAAGAAGTTTACATAACAGTCGCTCCACCACTAAAGGTCATGCAACGTGCCAACAGAGCAGGGAGATGATGTTAACAGCTGTTTGTTTGGTTGCAGAGTTGAAGGATGCATTAATCATTTAGCCATCAAACAGCCCAGTACCTCAAAGTATTGCATCTAAACAGCTACAAAGAGTCCTCCAAATGAATCTCATTCATTTTCATTAAAAAATGCGCACAAATGTGAAAAGATGTTTGGTGTGTGTTTTCTCGGACCGCACACAATATTGTATGATGCTTAATATCAATCTATTTAATGTTATGAATAATTGGTGTATCGCCTACAATTACATTGCAGTCCTTGTCTTTGTCTCTCTCTCCCTGAAGTTGACAGGATTAACTACAATAGAAAGCCAATGCCGTGATAAGCAGACATACTTATCCAGAGCCATCAAATACGTCCCTGTTAGACCTTTTTTTCCCCTTAAAATAAATCACCCATTGCCGTTGGCTTTGATGCCAAAATGCTGGTGTTGAGGATTGTTTCTAAAAAAATGTCTGAATCTGCTGGAAGGTGAAGGCGCAGCAATCATTTGAAAAGTGGATGTGCACTTTATTCTTTTTGGAAAACGGTTGAAACACAATGAAAACCATGTCCTGTGTTAACTAAAGGGTTCCGCATGGCTTATACTCTGAAGTGACAAAATGAGAGAAATAGCTTTTTATTCTTTCTCATCATCTCTGCTATTACTTAAACACAACTGTAAATTAACTCAAAGATAACAACATAAATAGTGATGAAATGTAAAATTTTGTTTACACTATACAGACTCAAGCTTTGGTAATAAACTCTCCTTAGGTCAATAAAAATGGAGAGCTCTTCTGTGCATCTTCTGTATTGATATAAAATATTAAGATGAAAACATTTTCCTTCCCAAGAAGTATTTATTATAGCTGTGAATCAGTACAATTTGTATATAAATCTCACAATGTGATCAGAGATT